AGATTTTAAGAAAAAGAAAAGATAAACTACAGATCAGGAGAAAATATTTGCAAAATATGTCTGATACATGATTTGTATCCAGAATATATTAAGAATAACTCTTGCAACTCAGTAATAAGAACATAACAACCCAGTTTTTAAAATGGACAAAAGATTTGAACAAACAGTTCACCAAAGAAAATCTACAAATGGCCAAAAAGCACATGAAAAGATGGCCAACATTATTAGTCATTAAGGAAAAACAAATTTAAAAAATGAGTTATCTCTGCATGCCTACTAGAATAGTTAAAATTAAACACATGACCATATCATGTGTTGATGAAGATGTGAAGCGGCTCTCACATTGCTAGTGGGAATGCAAACTGGCCCAACTGTTTAGGCGAACAATTTGGCAGTCTCTGAAAAACGTAGTTATTGTATGACCTACTCGTAACACATTTTCCCAGTTCCACTGGTAGGAATTGACCCAAGGGATGAAAATGTTGTCCATATAAAGACTTGTATTTGGATATTTTTTTATTTTTAAAGATTTTATTGGGGAATTGGGGGAGGGAACAGCGTTGGAGAATTGGGGAAGGGGAACAGATAAGTTGTATCCTTTTGTTCTTCAATCTAGTTGTGGAGGACATCGCTTCACTGGCCCATGTTGGTATTATCATTGTGCTCTTCCCGGGCGAGGCAGATGGGTCACCGGCCATTGGATGGTTGCTCACAGCAGCTGCTGGCCACTCACACTGGCTGCTGGCCACTCACGGTAGCTTATGGCAGCCCACTGCAGCCTAAGCTGTCACCGGCGACTCACAGCAGCCCAGCTCCAGGTTGAGCTGTTGTTCACCATCTTAGCTGTAGAGGCCACAGCGTCACTGGCCCATGTGGGATCTGAACTGGCAGCCCTGCTGCTCAGGGCTTGGGCTCCCAAGCCAACTCTTAACCAACGAATCACTCGGCCGGCCCGTATTTGGATATTTTATAGCAGGTTTATTCAGAACAGCCCAAAATGGGAAACAACCTAAATGCCCATCAGCTAGTGAATGGGTAAGTTGTGGCATATCCATAAAATTGAATACTACTCAGTAATAAAGGGATTGAACTACTGGTCATACAATATCTTGAATGGATCTCAAAAGTACTGTGTATATAAAAGTGGTTGCTGGGGGCTGGAGGTGGAAGGAAGAGATTGACTATAAAGGGGCACGGACTAATTTTGGGGGTGGGGGTGGAAATTACTTGTATCTTGATTATGGTGATGGTTACATGATTATTTACATTTGTCAATAATCATGGAACTGTACACTTAAAAATGGATGAATATACCTCAATAATCTTGACTTTAAACACAGGAGATGATTCTCCTCATTAAACAACACACATTAAAACAGTCAGATAACCTTCTTCCTCATTAAAAAATATAAATGAAAACAATCAGATTACCTTTTCAAAAACCTATCAGATTGGCTAAGATCAAAGTGTTCAATTATACAATGTCAAAGGTTTGGGGAAGGGATCACTCTCATACTTTATGATACAGCCTCTGAGGGGGAGCTAAGCAACATTTTTTAAGATTAAAAATGCACATGCTTTTTGACCCCAAAATTCCACTTTTGGGATTTTTTTTTTTTTTGCTACAGGTAAGGCATGTAAAAATATCAGTTTATTATAGCAAAACCAGGAAACAACCTTAATTTCCATGAATGGGACATTTAATTATGGTGCAGTGAAGTAGATATATTGTGTGCTGATATGGAACAGTTTCTGAAGATATTGTTAAATGAAAATAGCAATGCATAGAATGACATATATAGTGCGCTTCTTTTTGTGTTTTTACAAAGCTGTATGCATATTTTGCTTGTTTATGGATACGCTGTTAGAGACAGCATACACACACAGAGCTGATATTAGCAGTTCTCTCTAGCAAAGGAAAGGCTTTGCTTGAATATTTTTTTACCGTGTGCATGTATTACCTTCTCAGTTACAGAAAAAAATTTTAATTTGCATACATTATAATATTATTAGGCAATTTAGGGGTACATAGGTGATTTTCCTCATCATTTCCTCCAGAGGGTCCTTAGTGTTTTTGTCAACAACACAACAGTGGACTGGATGAATCTTGGGACTGATCCAGTGTGACAGTTCTAAGACCTCCTCCCCTTGTAACCACTGCTTCCTGATGTGTCTCCTGTTTTTCCAAATTCATGTGGGAGTAGGTTGAGGAGGACATAACGCTCATTTAGCTTTACCCACATGATGCCTTTTGGTTCATTGGACTGCTCCTCTAACTTAGGTCAGTTTTACTAAGCACTGCAATGTTAGGTGAATTGGTGGGGAGACAAGTACTGAGCTCTGAAGAAAAGTTTACATCACGTCTCTGGATCTTGTTCAGATACTACCAGGAAGATTCTGTTAGCAAGGGGAGCATTGGTCGGGAGGTGTGGAAACCGGTAGCACTTTCTGAAAATGGGATAGCTTGGGAAGCTGTCTTCAATTTAGTTTGGATATTAAATGGATGTGCTCAAGTTATGAGCCTTGCCTCATCCCTGCTATAAAAAGCCCTTTCGCCTGGCTGTAACTGACTCTCCTCTCTGTAATGTTACACAATATTCCTATGGTTATAGAGCCTGAATAAGTGGAAGCTAATCATTAGTTTGCTAAATATGGTTCATGGAACAGTTCACAACTCCCAGACCTGCCAGCTGCTGCTTGTTTAGTGTCATGTTCGCTCTGCTTGGGTAGAAGTTGGTTTGTTCAGAAAAAATGTACAGTAACATTTGTCTCGCATCCAGGAACCAGGCAGTATGGCAGCTCTCCATGTGTCTTGGTCATAGCGAGGGGAATAGGTCAGGCCAAGCAGAGTTTTTTGGTACATATACTTCCACAGGAAGAAACCATTAAGAGGAGTGTGAGGTAACAAAGCGAGAAAAGAATGAAAGCTGCAGAGGTTTGGGGTATTTGGAAAAATCACACTTTGTTCACTTTTCAGAAATTTGCTGTGATAGAACTCTATGGAGTTTACCATTGTGTGGACCTAGAAATAAAATCATGTTTTTTAGGTTCTTCCTTGTTTGTTTCATGTGACATTATTACCCAGAGTCACCTGCAAAATACATAGATGTGCTACCTTTAGGAGCCAAACATTTTATGAGCTGGGGTGCTTTCCTCTCTCATTTCCCAATATGTGTCAGGGGAACCTACTGAGAGCAGTGCGTACCAGCTGGATTTGTGCCCTCACCTGGGGATTAGGGCCTAAATCCTTAAGCCACTCATGACTGTTTGGCCTCCTCCTCCTGGAATGAAAGTGGGTTCTTTCCCAGTATACAGAAAATGTATTGTGCCCACCTGTGACTCAGTCCCCTTGGCTCCGTGGCCCTGCAGGAGGAATTCTTAGAGACTATCTAGAAAGAGACAGTGGCTGTCTCTGTTTACCTGCTGTATCATTTAGATCTCTTTGGATTATACAAAACAGAAAACCTGACCTCAACTGGTTTAAGGAAAACGGGCATTTATCGGCTCACATGCCGAGATACAAGGGCTCAAATCATGTCATCAAAGCCCACTTTTTCTGCTTCTTTCTTCTTTGGCTTTGTTGTCCGACTCATTCTTAGGCTCTCTGTGGTGGCACCTAGAATCGTTACAAAAGCTTCCAGGTGCAAGCCCAACAGGAAATAGCAGATAGCCTTTCCTCTGTCTCCTAGAAAAGTCATGAAGTTCACTCTGACCCAGCTGGCTTAGGTCTTGGGCCATCCCTGAACCAGTCACAGGGTCCAGAGAGATGCTGTGTTTTGATTGGTCTGTCTTGAATCTCATTCCCCACACATGGAAGGGCAGAGCCTCAGTTGAGCACTTGGTGTAGGTGTGAGAATAGGGCAGCCACCCAGCTGAAAACGAGGCGCTGTGCAGAAAGAAAAGGGAACGGGAGCTGGGAGGCAAATTGCTAGTCTTTAGTTTGCGGAAGCTGGGTTCTTCCTTCAATCCCCAGAAAGACTCCACTTCCGACTGCCTTGCCAGTGGTAAGATGGGGTTCTGCTGGTTTGCGAAGCAGATCATGTCGTGTTCCCCAACCTCTGCTGCTGCTGCTCACCTGTGTGCAGCTCAGGAGGACTACAAGAATTATTATTATTATTATTATTTATTTTTTATAATACACACTTATTTAAAATATACACATTTGTTTAAAAGTCCATGCAAGAGGAAATAAATAAGAAATGATCAGGAGCTGATGTCATTATGGTGGTTTTCATTGCACTTCTTGGCTTAAGGCAATTTAAAAATCTATATAAAAGTAATGGAATCAAGTCATAGTTTAGAAAATATAAAAGAAATAATTCTATCACTCTGAGCCAACCACTATTTTAATTTTAGAGTATTTCTTTTCAGCCTTTCTTCATATGAGTTTCTCACAAATTTTTAAATCTTAATTTTTGTTTTTTGATCCATGATTTTTTTATTACATGATAATCTGGGTATTGTCCCTATTACTAGATAGCCCATCATTATCATGTAAAAGCAACAGAATACCCCATCAAGTAGACATACCACGATTAACTTAATCATTCCTCTATCATTGGGCATTGGTATTGACTCTTTTAAAAATGTTTTTCTACTGTTATAAAGAATAGTGTGTGTTGAACATTTGGGGAATATGGAACTTTTCTCATGCCTTATCTTATTTCCTGAAGAAAGATTGTACAAAGTAGGATTACCAGTTCAAAGGGTAGAAACATTTTTATGACTCTTGATACATACTGCTAAATTTCTTTTCAAAACTGTTACATTTATTAAAAAAATCTACCTCCAGCAGATTATGAGAGGATCACTGCATTCTTGCCAGCAATAGGTATTTGGATTTTTAAACACTTTCCTAATTTAATAGGCAAAAAATAGGTGTCCTTTTTGTTTTAATTTGGATTTCTTTGGTTAGTAGTGAGGCTGAATGCTTTTATGTATGCTTGTTGTTTAGCTGTATTTTCTGCCCTGCTTTACACATTGTCTTTTCTCCGTTTTAGACCCCAAAACAGCTTCTGAAACAGAAGTGGATATCTGTGCGGAATGGGAGATCAAAACCATCACTAGTGCTCTGAAGACCTACCTAAGGTAGGGACTTTCCATTTGCAGGGCTGAGTGCCAGCTTGTTATCAGGCAATCAGGAAGAAAGCAGTTTTATTTTCAGCCTCCAGAGAGCTGTTGGGTGGGTGTTTGAGATGTGAAAACAGCTCACGTGTGGGTGCAGTTAACTCAGCTGGTCCATCTGATTGTAAATCATCCATAGTTGATGGGCTGCCATTGTGCAATGATGCCATGAGTGATTTAGGAAGCTTTGTGCCTTATAAGAAGCTACTGTGACAACTCGCCTTTAACAAAACCTAAAATACAGTAGTCCCTGAAATTCCTGAATACTCTATTAAGAGAACAAGGGATCACATATCCCTTTCTGATGCAAATGCATGATTACATACCCTGTGTATTTTGTAAATAGAGTGTATTGCTGATATTGGTCCTTAAAAATGAGAAGTAAATGGAATTCCTTTTTGTCTCCTTCTGCTTAGAATGGAAAAGATCACTTTATTGGTGAGAAGAGTCTTTTCCTGTAATAATATATGCAATATTATATATGCTACCTCCCTACCCCTCCATCTGTTATTAAGGGAGTGTGGGATTGACTAGCTCCCCACATCTCAATTTCATGAGTAGATTGGAATTTATGCTTGATTTGGAGGGTAGGAAAATTATAGTTCTTCGCTGTGGTTCTTACACAGTAAGGTGGGGGACCCAGCCTTAAACAAAGAGGAGAACTATCATCATGAATGGCATAAGCACTTGTACAGGTTTTGTGAAGATTCCCTTGGCTCAAAAGCAAAGGAGGAAAGCCAGAGAAAAGGAATAGGTGATGCTGGGTTATTGGCTATTGGGGGATTGAAGGAAGAATCTTGAAGTCAAGAATAAGATGTAATGCAAGTGATAACTAAGGGTTGACTTAAGGGATCTGATGAGAATAAAAAAGAACCTGAGCCAAGAATAATATATAGTCTATTGAAAACCTTATTGTCTAGAGTCTAGACTATCAGAAAAACCTCTGGTATGTTTATAGTTTAACATATTCCTTAAATATTCATACCCCAAATATTACTATTGTAGTTTACACAAAGCTGTATTGTAGAGGTTTGCATTTCACACTTCATTTTACATGTTTATATTGATTTGCTAATAAACAATAAGTATAAAACATTTTTTATTAAATTTATTGGGGTAACATTGGTTAATGGCATTATATGAGTTTCATGTGTACAATTCTATAATCCATCATCTGTATATTGCACGGTGTGCTCCCCAGCAAAGTCTAGTCTCTGTCACCATATATTTGACCCCCCCTTTACCATCTTCATCCCCCTCTCAGCCCCCTTCCCCTCTGCAACCAACCACCCTTCTGTTGTCTGTGTCCATGAGTTTGTATGTAAAACAAAATTTTTTTAAAAAGCAGGTAAAATTTGATTGTGTCATGCCTAATGTTAGGGCTTTTAGCTCTTTGGTATTCTCGAGCAGCACTCCACAGTGAATTTGCCACAAAAACACCTACAAAAGTCTCTCATAACACAGATGAACTGATTCTGATAACAAGGTGCTGGGAAGACGAGATAAATGCAGATATTTGCAAGTGTTTAGTTAGCTGCCTGTTACTCAGACATATCTTAAAATGCTCTTGTGAGTCACTGACTGAAAATGAAATCTCTTGGTTTGTGCTAGACTTCTGCATTAGTACTTTTCCAGTTGTGACTACGAAACATAGTTCTATCCATTCCCTTAAAAAGGAGAGAGAATGAAAATTTCAGCGGAAACCTCAGGACCTCTGAAAAGGGAAACTAAGTTTGAGTCTGAGCTGAGTTGCATTGTTTCCCTGTGATCTTTGTCTTTGAGAAATATAATACAGTTTGGCAGTCTCTGGGCTGCTATTTTGAGAGAATATGATTGTTTTTATTAAGCTGACTAGTGTACATCCTTTTATTCCAGAATGCTTCCGGGACCACTCATGATGTACCAGTTTCAAAGAAGTTTCATCAAAGCAGCAAGTAAGTTTTCTTTTTGTCACAGTTTTGAGGAGGAGGGAATAGATTTTTTTTCTATTTCAAAGCACAGTTAGTATCCCAAAATAAATATTATCTAACCCTTCGTATTCCGCATGTTAACTACCCACATACGCGCTCATGAGCCCGCCACAGAATCAAAACGAAACCAAGTCAGGATTGCTAAGGGCCTTGCTACCATGTCAAGTTTATGATAGAGGAGAGAAACTTCAGCAGCGTGTTTGTGGGGGTGGGGAGAGGAGGGAAAAGCAAGTTTGCCTCTCTAATTTTGATTACTGGAGTTCTAACTCCTTGGGTTTTTCCCAGCCCTTAAGTAGCATTTTGCAGAATGAATCAAACTTTGCACATTAACCTAAATTGAGCACTGGAAGTGTTTTCCCGAATGCGACACCATTTATATAACTTCCCAGTCTGCTTTCCATCATGGCTTCTACTTACAGCTTCTGATCATTCTTCAGCCATATCATCCAGGCCTCTAGCGTCATATTACTGGTATTAAAATACATCAGGATTAGGTTCAAGCTACCCTAAGTCTACCGGAATCTGTCTACGTGGGGCAGGCCTCCTTTCGGGGCAGCAAGATATTCTCTCAGATTTAAATCTGGCATGAAACCCCGCAGTGCTGCTCTGCCAGTAGCCTGTGTGTCTCCCTGCTTCCTTTAAGCCGGCAGAGTTTGTTTACCCTTGTAGCGACTACTGGCCTAATTTAGTAGCAACGAATGTTCTGATGGCCTTGTCTACTCAGAGTTCTCCCCTTAAAACAGGGAGAAGAAAGACATGAGAGCAAGCTAGGAGTGAAGATAGTGTTTATGTGATTTCTTTCTCAGAGAAATTCCAACCCCATGGCAACCATTCTCTAATTAAACCTCACATCAGTCCTATAAATAGGTGTGGTGAGGACCATCATTCTATTTCTCAGACAAACGCAGCCACTTGCCCAAGTTCAACCACGAGAACATGACAGGCCGTGACTTAGGTTACAGGTTCGCAGAAAGATTTACATATTTGCTGCGCCATTCCTTCCTTCTGTATACCAGGCTGGCCATCACACAGGGTTTGAAATAACTGGACATTTCCTTTGATTTCTTTGATGCTGTCCTGAGGCGTTGTTTTGACATGTGAACCCCTTGCAATGTTGTTCATGTACAATTTGTTTATCACTTGGTGAGTGCATCAAGTTCCTTTTTTCCTTGAAATGAAGCCGTCACTCTAGGGAGCCAGCTGCTCCTAAGTTTGTTCCTGCTTTGAGCATGCAGTTCACTGGCTCCATTTCACCACGTCATCATTTTGGCTGGAATTTTTTTACAGCTTTTTTTTTTTTTTTTTTTAATGAACTCTGTTACAGAAAGCACTTCTCGATCTAGTCATTCTGGTCATGAGTACACAGAGCAGGATGTTAAACCTTTTGAGAAATCCTCAGTCTGTTAGTGCCCAGCCTTTGGTTTCTTTTGATTTTTTTGCCTTGTAAACTGATTTAGCTGTGACACTGATAAATATTCCTTCCCTGCTACCTTTGCAGAGCTGGAGAACCAGGAGTCTCGGGTTTCTGAAATCCACAGCCTTGTTCATCGACTCCCGGAGAAAAATAGGCAGATGTTACAGCTGCTCATGAACCACTTGGCAAAGTAGGTTTAAGACTGATTGCTGGCCCTTGTCTCACGCCTAGAAAGTTCTTATCTTAGCACTAAAGCTGGTCTCTGTTCTGCTTACGTTTGCCTCTCCCACTATTGCATCAGGTATGCTGGAGGCTTAGGAAAGAAATGTGTGAAATGTTAACTGCAGAGGGTAACAGCAGCACATGCCAGCTGGTCTTTGTGAACTAGGCCGAGGAAGTGGCCCTGTGACCAGGCCACCGGGCCGAGTTTTTGGGGGTGGGGGTGGGGGTTGCTCATGTGGTGATCAAGGGCAAGCAGGAGTGTATCATCTATGATACCAGGTCACCAAGCAGAGTTCTCAGGAGTTATATGTTCTGGTGACGGTCAAGGGCAAAGAGGAGTATGTTGTGGGTTTACAGACCTTGGCTCTGTAGGAAAGAGGCCTGGATTTTACAGTTAACTGTTCCTAACAGGCCACTTTACCAGCCCTGGACAAGCCGCCGACCTCTCAATTCCTTATTTTCTTCATCTGTCAAACATGGAGAGTGGGCTCCCTTTAACCTACAATGTCACTGATTTTTTAAAGTTGTGTGCATTCAAGCCTTTGAAGAAGGATAGAGAATAAAGAAATTATCTTTGGCAAATGCCCACTTGTCTTCTGAGATAATCAAAGCATTCGGCAGGGGTCTGATTTTTCTGCTAGGCATATTTATACTCTTGGAACGGTTTTGAATTTCTGTGAGCTTACTGTTGTGTGACCCTTTTCAGAATGGCCGTACTGACTTCCCTTGCTGTACCGGCCCCTACACACGTGCATGTTCTAACCTTCCATTGACGTTGATGAATGTTTTTCATTGCAGACTGGAGCATAAGAAAAGATAGAGTGTAACAGTTACCCTAAATCATTAATCCCTACATTCTACTGAATTGATACGTTGTAAATCTAGCCCTTCCCACACTTCGTTCATGCCATGAAGTCATCCTTTTGGGATACGTTGATACTGTGCTGAGGGAGATTATGGTTTGTTTTCATATTTCTACCAAGCTCTTGATGTTCCGTTTTGGAGAGAGCGCATATATGGTTCCATAAAGGTTTCCACAGCTCTGATTATGAAGAAAGAGTGATTTGCATGTTGGTGAGAAGCAATTAGGTAGAGTTAAGGGTTGCTCCATTATCGGTCAGTTATTTTTCTTGCCATTCCATGTCAGAACTGCATTGTGATATATTGTTATTTATCAGAAATATATATTTGGTCGATCAAATGACCAAAATTTATTTCTCATATGTATGGTCTTCATCCACAATTCATGGCTCACAGCTCCCTGAATTCTTAGGATTTCCTAAGTTTGGGGAGTAAAAAAGGGTGTCTTTTGTTATGGTAATGAGGTGACTTTTGGAAAGTACCTGAGGATGGGGGCTGGCTGCCAGCGGGAGCAATGCTGTGATTGGAGGGTTGGAACTTTTTTTTTTTTCCAGTTTCAGGTGTACAAAACAATGCAATAGTTATGTTTTCTTTTCACCCCTCACAAAGTGACAATTCCCCTCCTCAATCCACCGCGCCCCCCCCCGATATCATACATATAATAATATTATATGGAGGGTTGGAACTTTCAATCCTACATCCTCCCAAACCCCCATGACTTCTGGAGAGGAGAGAGAGGCAGGAGGTTGAATCAATCGCTAATGGCCAATGATTTCATCATGACCATGTAAGGAAGCCTCCATAAAAACCAAAGAATATGGGGTTTGGGGAGCTTCCGGGCTGGTGAACACATGAAGGTGGTTGGAGATTGGCCCCCTTGTGGAGGGCATGGAAACCCTTCATCCCTTCCCACACACCTTGGCCTGTGTGTGCCTTTCATCCTGCTGTTTTGAGTTATATCGTTTTACAACAACCCAGTGATCTAATAAGTAACCTGCTTCTGAGTTCTGTGAGCCATTCTAGCAAATTAATAGAACCCAAGGAGGGGACTGTGAGAATTTCTGATATTAGCCAGTAGGTCAGAAGTACAGGTGACAACCTGCATTTGGGATTGGCATTCCATGTTGGAGGGGGTTGTTGGCACCCCTAATCTGTGGCCTGTCGGTCAAAAGCACAGGTAATCTGGGCTTGCATCTGAAGAGAGAGAGAGAGAGAGAGAGAGAGAGAGAGAGAGAGAGAGAGAGAGAGAGAGTGTGTGTGTGTGTGTGTGTGTGTGTGTGTGTGTGTGTGTTTGTGTGTGTGTATTCGGGTCAGTCTTGTAGGACTAAACCCTTAACCTGTGGAATCGGATGCTATCTCCAGGTTGATAGTGTCAGAATTGAGTTGAATCCTCGGACACTCTGCTGATCTCCTGAGAATTGTTTGTTGGTGCCCCACAGTGGAATTGGGTCCGGAAACCCAATTCATGCATGTTGAGAAAAATTAAAGCATAGCAGACAACATGCACATTTGCATGGAGAATGCCCCCAAAATGTCAAAGAATCCTGTTGAAATGTGTTTAAAATAATGGGAACGGAGCTTTAAAAAGTAACTCCAGATGCTCAGATGACGGTTGGGTGCTCGTTCTATGCAACCCAGTCAGGCATTTGTTAAACGGAAAAGCTGGTTAAGATCTGAGTTGCAAAGATCTTTTGCACGCTTGCAGAGCCTGCCCCAACCAGAGGAAGTTCCAGGTCCATACTCCCGCCAAACATTTATAGGGCTGCTTTATGGCCACTGGGTCCTAAGGGGGCCTCCAGGCCTGCTGGGAGCCTCTAGAGGAGAAGGGTTAGGAACCAGCTGAAAGTAGCCGGGCTTCTCAAGCTGCACAGTGTGATGAGAACTTAATTGCACTGAGGGGGACCAAGAATAAATGGCGATCCGGCAGAGCCAGTACTGAATTTTCTCATGTTTTGAATGCCCTGAGGATTGTTAGGAATCTTTAAAGAAAAAAAAAAAAGATTAAAAGAGAAAAACCAAAACCCTTAAGGTAGATCTAGAACAGTCAAGCCTGTTCATCTCCTGGTGGATGGTTCACTTTTTCCTTCTTGTTTCATTCTTCTTTCCCAACCCCATTAAATTCAGTCTGTCTTTATCCCTAGCCCAAGGAGACTTACAACTGGAATAGACAAGTTACAGCCGGGAACTTGATTTTTTGCCTTCTAAAGAATTTAAACCAATTTTGTTGCTGGAGGTATTTATTTTATATCATGTCTGGAGCATTATACATGGTCTTTGATACTTAACATTGATTTTCTTTGGCTCTGTGAGGTAACATGACATTTCTTTGTTCATTTAACCATTTAGAAATCTAGGGATAGACAAGCTCTCATGCCTGTAATGTGAGTCTGTCAAGGCTGATGTTAGAACACACAGACTCAAGTTCTCAGCATGCCGCCTTCTTTGGTCTCTGGAGCTTCTAGATTTGAAATGTCTTAGAGGAGATGGGTATCAATGAGCACTGCTGAATCCAGTCAGGAGTATTTCTTTAGTTCTGAAAAAAATTCTTTGGCACCCGGAGGAGTTCTAAGATTCCACTTAAACTCTATATTCTCGTTTACAGTGCTGTTCTATTTTAAAATCAAGCAGTAAGGGAAAGGTAACGGGACAAGGGGTTTGTCTGTTTCATTCCAGTTTTCTCAGGTTCAGGCTTAACCTCGGATACGCCTGAGCTATTGTTCCTCTGGTCCACTTACTTAATGGTCAGCTTCCTTCCTAAGTTTTGGTTTCAGGGCTGGTTCGGCTGGAAAACCCAGTGTTTACTTCTCTCATTACCTACTGTGTTTGCCCTGTGCATCCCAGGCGTCTGGTTCAAAGGGACGACATTTTGTATTGTGTCTTTTTTAAAGTACTCTTTTGAAACACTTTCCAACATTGATTTCCTTTAGCCATGGAGGGAAAGTTAAGACATTTTCGATGTAATACCAAGTAGAAATGTATTCAGAGGGAAAGCAAGTCTTAAAGAGAAAGGATAAAAACTTCAAACCTCCAAGCAAATATGATTACCAGGGTACCTCCAAATCACAGAGCTCTTGGGCTTATTTCAGACTTCAGAGGGAACATGAAAATTATAGGCAACTCTGCACATATTTTGTTGTCCCAGCTCAAATCTACTATGATAATTAGATGTTTTCTCTTTGGGTCCTAGGATCTAGTATACAGTCGGAAGTCATGTGCCTCCGAGCACAGTTAGACTCACCTGGGTGCTTATTTATAATGACATTGCTGGGTCCCACCCCCGGTGTACTAAAGCAGACTGCCTGGAAATCTGCATTTCAGGCCATTATGATACAGTCTTTTGAGAACGGGCCATATGCAGGGATTTTCTAGGAGAGAGAAATGGCATTGAGAGGAATGGATTGGGATTTACGAGGGAATTAGAAATAGGAAGAAGAAGCTCAAACCAGTGAGTTCAAAAAGGAGATTTTATTTTCATAATTAAATTACTTAAAAAAATTTTTGATTTACCATGTATTTACAGTTCAACTTTACTTTAAATTGAGTGTTCAGCAAATGACTCTTAAAATCACGCATAAAGCATCTTTATCAGTAAAGCAAATGGTGATCCAATCATGTGATTCTATGTTCTCATCCTCTAGAACAGGGAGTGGAGAAGAAAATACTTCCCGATCTTATAATTGTAGAAGGAAATAAGAGTAGATGAGTAATAAAGACTAATTTCATGGTAGTTCCCCGATGTTTACATATTATGATGACTCCAAGTATGTTGTATATTCCCACACATACCATTCATAGTGGCTCATCGTAACTTTATTACAGTGTTTATGCCATAGGGAGGTTTTCAGAGGGCTCTCCATGCATCAGGAGTGGCTATTAAAAATACCTTTTCACAGCTGGTTTTCCCAAAGCATGTATTGAGAATTAAATCTTAGCCTCTCTTCTTTTTTGAAGCAACTATTCCTTTGTTGCTAGGGTGTTGGAGAGACGGAGCCTTCTTACTTCTCCAAAGAGATATTGTATCATTTAGGATGCTTTGGGCTGCAAGAAACAGAAAATCCAATTCAGAATGGCTTAACCAATAAGGAAATCTGTTGTCTCATTACGTAA